ATATTGCTTTAAAGTGTATATTATAATTTGGCAGTATTCAAAATAATATATACAAGCACTTGGTGCAGACTGGCATTACCTTTAACTCTTTACTTTCTTCCTTAGCTTTAAGCTTTTTCTTTTTTCTTATGTTCAATATGTAAACTTACTGAAAACAGACTTCCATTTGTGTGGGAAGCTGTTTCAAGAGAGCTGAAATCTCTCTGCATTTGAAGCTTGATGGTACCTGTCAAAGGGATTTTAGTTAGACTGTTCTTAGTTGGGCGTTATTAGTAGTTTTCTCTTGCCCATCTTTCCTCCAGCTTGTATTCACAAGTGGAATTAGTTAAAATCTTGCTATGCTAGCACCTTATTCTGCAGGTGTAAAAGAGATATTTTTTTTTTCTTACAGAGATGGTTTTTCAAAATACACTGTTTTCCTTGGCCAGAAATGTAAGCTAAGCTCTCACAATATTTTGTATAAGAGCCTGTACGTAATGTATGTTCAGATAATTTTACAGAGGTATTATGCCATTCCTCATCAGGATAATATGAAGGCAAATTTATTAGCATGAAAATATATTATCCCACCTAATATTTCTGTTGTCTAAGTTCAGTAGTTCGTTGTAGTATGCACTCTAAGAAATTATTAACTGGTTTTGTAGTGTTAAAATTAAATTCAGTAGGTTTCTTAGTCTCCAGTAGCACAATTTGCTCCAAATGGGAGACTTGTCCAGGTGCATGTGACTGCAGTTGGAAAGCTGACCTTAGAGGCAATTGGAACTGTAATTATTGCACTACAGCAGTACACCTGTGATACAGCAGGATGCCTGTGACTTTACAGATCCTGTAAAGATGCAGTATGTGTGCTATATCAGATGCATTGTTTTCCAACAAACAGTTTTCAAATCCTGGTGAAAAAAAAAACCAACCCAACAAGCAGTGAAAGTCACTCCTGAGACTTGGGTTAGGTTTTGTCAGGAGTTTCATTTCCTCTGAGCAGAGGCAATCGATTCACAGTGTAGTGACAGGCAGCAGAAACACCCAAATAATGCCAGCTAAGTCTATGCCTAATAAAAACCTGGGTCAACAAATATGTTCATAATGTGGCTGAGTGACCTAGTTCTTTGCATGGATTTTCTGTAATTGGAAGATGAAGTAGAATTACACACTTAAATGGAGAATGGATCATAAATCACCAATTATCTGAGACAGGTTTCTTACAATGTAGTTTTTACAAATTATTGTATTTTTATTGCACTCTCCCAAATTCCTCTGTTATAGCCACAGTTTCTATTGTCAAACACTAAAACCTGTGACATCAACAGGTATGTTACTTACATGACATGTTTCGGTATGCAGATGAATATACATATCTTGTCATACAAAATTCTGTACTTGCAATTATATTGAATTTGTGTAGTAATATATAATCTCTGTAAATACACTCTGTATATTGCATAACAACTTAGATCTTTAAATTGATACACTGCTGGAGTTTGCAGCAGTCATCCTGTCTTGCTTGTTTCCCACCTCCACCTCTAGTACTAGACCAACAGATATTTAAGCACCCCTGTATTAGGATTCTGGAAATAATTCTGAAAGTTAAGCCTTCAGTTTCTGTGACTCTGGTTTGTAAAAATCTAATACTAATATTGCGACTGTATTTGTGGCTTATATTGGCACTACATGGTCCTCATTTAACAAGCACCATGTGAACTGCTTTAAAATAATCAAATCCTGTTTCTCTTTTCTGGAAAAAAAAAAAAAAAAAGGAAAAAATAAAAATAATTAGGGCAGATAAATCTTTTCTATCCCTGTGAACTTTTAGTTACCAGATTGGATTTGAAAAATATAGAAAGGTAACTTATTGGTCTGTTATGTTATGCGAGTAACTTTGTCTAGGACTATGCTTTCTCAAAATACATTAGTTCAGTTTTACACCTTTATATATGTTAAGCTTAGAAGTGTCTACTGGAAATAAGCAAAGCCACACATGAACACTTGGCTTCATTAATAATATCTGGGATGTCTGATTTGTTGACAGCCTCATGAGATGAATTTTGAGCTGCCCTGAATACTACAGGAGAGACATTACCTGCTAATAGCACAGAAAGGAACATAGTACTTAAGTGCCTACCCCTATTTCCAAATGAACTGCTGCTTACGGTCCCTGTATCAGTACGCTCTACACGATTAAGTAAACTGAGTCTGCTGATCCTTTGTTTGTTTGGGTTTTTTTTTTTTCACCTGTTCATTAAAAATTGCTGCTAATATGTTTCTCACAAAAAGTCAGTGTCATTATTCACTCATCAGACAGGAGTAAAAGTGGAACACAAAAGCCCTGCAGCAAAGGTGGTCCTTGGTACATTAACTACTTTTCTGCTTTCCTGTATGAAAAGCTCTGGTGCTTTAAGTACCTGGGGGGTATATCACTGGACACTGGTATTTTTTTTTTTACTGCTTATATCTCTTAATATGAAAGGAAGTCAGTGGATGCTTGAATATAGAGCATATATAGAGTTGCCTGTGACTTTAGATGAGAGTTTTGAGTGTTACTTTTTTATCTGCCTCTAAATTTGAAGTGCGTCTGAAGATGTTCAGTTGCTTTGCGTAAGATAAGGATATTTATTGGTTTTTCCAGACTGAGTATTAGCCTTGTTTCTTCTGTGGTACTAAAAACTTACATTGATTATCTGTAGCAAGTCCTTTTTGTAACTTTATGCATAACTTTTTAGGTGTTTTGTTTACAAAAATAGGTAGATATTTATCGTGGTTTATTCAAAGCAGGTTGAGATTTGGAGACTTGGGAGGTGAGACCAAGCAATAGGTAATGCAGATGTGGAGAGATTATAATAGAGGATCTAGTCTCACTTCTGTTTTGTTTCTGGTTATGTTTAGAGAGCTCAGAGTGGTGGTGTGTTACATGGTCAGTTGGAATTGTATGCTCAAGCTGAGGAGTATAAATAATAAGTGACTCAATAAAAGCAAAAGGATCTTAAATTTTACAAAGTGAACAGTAAAACACTGAAACTGTTCTGAATAGGTTTAACTTAACATCTGCTGTTTGAATAGGTACCAGACATGGCGGGCTACCCTCACATCCGTTACATTTCATCAGGATTGGATGGAACATCATTCAGAGGCCCTTTCAGGGGCAATTTTGAGGTTTGTAATAGAATAAAACTAGATATATGTCAAAATGTGTCATGAGGGAATATGGGGAGGGTTACAGTAGAACTAGTTCTATATATAGATGTAAAAGAATAATAAATACCCTTTATTTATAGAATAACTTCACTATTGTGAACTGGGGTAAAAGCAAATTGAAAAGGCAGGCAATCAAAGATGCCCTGGACAATGTAGGCTTAGGGCATTACTAACTTCTTATTAACATCTTGCTCTGCCCACCAGCCCAGTTAGGATGTAGTATTCACGTAAGATGGTAAAAGGTAGTGGTGTCTCTGAATAATTGTGCCAGGATCCTCCTAGTGAGGGTGAAACTTGGCAACTTTAACGGTGCTGTCCTGTTTACATAGTACAGGAATTGAAACGGGGTGGGGGTAGGAAGGAGAAAATAAAAAGTATCAGATGCAGAGAGTTAATGAACTCGTCCACTGAAAACATCTTCAGTGACATGTCATGGTTCTAATAAACTCATTGCTGGAAAAAAGAAAGTCAGTCATTGTATTTCAACTTAAGCAACTTTTTTTCCTTCTAAGCCTTAGTGACTGTTAGAATATTTACATAGTGCATTTTAATTGCATTTTCCTCATTATACACGCAAGTATGTGTGAACATACTGATAACCATTCCTAGCTGACAAACAATGTAGATTTGTTTAGTAGTAAAACACTGTTTCCCTATAACTTAAAATAGCAGGCAGCGTTGTGTGGTTTTTACAGATGGATATTTACAGAAACCCATCACTTTTCCCACACAACATGCTCTTTTTTTGCTTTGCCTGTATTTGAATAAGTTGGGAGTTGAGAGTTTGTCATCCTGCAAATGGGTTAAAATAAAATTAATATTTACTCAAAGTAGCTGAAATAACAATTGTTACACTGTTTATTCCTTCATAATTTTTTAGGAGCTGATTCACTTGGAGGAACGATTAGGCAATGTTAATCGTGGAGCAACGCAGGGAACTATAGAAAGATGTACATATCCACATAAATACAAAAAGGTGAGGATTTCTCAAATTGTGGCCTGTCTGTAATATTTCTTTAAAAATGTAATAACGTTTAGCTTAAATCTGCAGAAATGTCAGCTTCAAAGAGTCTGTTTCTTTCAATTTCAAGGATAGTAAGCAAAGCTTATAATGCCACTTCTTTTACAAAGAAAATAAAAATTTTGGTCCCTAGATAAAGAGTTACTGTAATGTGATAAATAAAAGTGTTTTGATGTGATTTAATAATTTGTCCAGCAGTTACGAATAGCCTTGTGAGCAATTAAATAACTATTGGTAATAGCTAAACTTTCAGCAGACTCAGTGAGAACTCATCAAATAAAGTAAGACTTTATTTTTGCAATAAATTATTCAGGATGCTTACCTGCTTGGTATCTATCATTTTAACCTGTACTCTGATTACATTAGGAAGACTATGGGACACTAGGAAGTTTTGAATCTGGTACAGAATTTTGGCAACTTAAGTTGTGTCTCAATTAGAGTTTATTATACCATATAGAATCCCATCCCCATTTACATAGTGTTCTTTCACACTTGATAAATAGAGACTTAAGATACTAGGATTGAAAGGATTTTTTGTTTGTTTGTTTCTTCATGAATTAGATGAATTTATTTATACATACGCTGCAAGTAAAAGAACTGGTTGCAACAATATAAAATAAATATATTCACAGTCCAGTAGACTTTTGTAATTAACAATAGTTAAATAAATCTGAAATGTCCTGTGATTTTGCTCCAAGAGCTAATTCTTGATTCATTTTGGTTCAAATACATTTGAATAAATATGAAATGTTTTCAAATAAGTATGTGTTGAATATGTATTAAAAACAGATTTTATTCAGTTTGTCAATAATGTCGTCTCTACTAATAAGGTAACAACTGATTGGTTCTCACAGAGGAAACTGCACTGCAAGCAAGATGGGGAGGAAGGAACAGAAGAAGACACAGAGGAAAAGTGTACCATCTGTTTGTCTATATTGGAGGAAGGTGAAGATGTCAGGTAAATAGGACCACTGAATATTGCAACATAATCATAGAATCATAGAATGTTGTGAGTTGGGAGGGACCCACAAGGATCATCGAGTACAACTCTAATGTTGATGTTCTAGCTTTGAGACCATACTTGAATATGGTACACTAACCTGAGCAATACTCCCTAAGTTAACAGTCACAATTAAAGACTATCTGTCATTGAGCCAATAAATAAAACAAGTTGCAATTGAAAACACACACTGTTCAGTCTGTATTGTCTTTGGGTAGAATGTAGGTTATTTTCTTATGGTCTTCCATAAGTTGACTGTCTAATAACATGAGCCCAAGCTTGATACCCTGAATTAATCAGGACTGCCAATTTTAGTTTTTCTGGAGTAATGCTTCTTAAGCTGTGACAGGTTTAAATCGGTGTAATACAGCAGAAGCTAGCTGATCCTGACTTCATTGCCCATATCCATTTCCTCTTGGAACTAGACAAAATGCAGGTTCAACTGGAAAGGCTAGTCAAACTTGTGGAAAAACATGCACGTGCAGAAAGAATAGACTCCTCAACAGCAAAACCCAGATTACCATTTTTCCAATGGGTATGTTGATAGGGAAATGCTTTATTAACACTAATGTTTTTCTGTTCTGATGACAGGCGCCTTCCATGTATGCACCTTTTCCACCAAGTATGTGTAGATCAGTGGCTGATTACTAACAAGAAGTGCCCCATTTGCAGAGTGGACATTGAGGCTCAACTGCCTAGTGAAAGTTGACACTGCTTTCCAGAACTCTCGTCCTCCCTCTCACTCCCTCTCATCCTTCCTGGTACTGCAGTCAACCAAAGATGGCATGACTTATCTGCGCAGATTTGGAAGCATTGAACCTAGAGTGCTGGCTCTGCTATATGGTACAACTAATGGTAGACCTACAGTTTATGTAGAAGACAGTTGAGTTTCAGTGTATTTATAAAACTTTTTTAGGTTTTACATTTTTTTTCTTTTAATTCATTACTGTATTTTTGCATGGTTCCCTGTATTGCATTTGTTTGCACATATTATGGGCTTTGTGACCCCAAACTTGCAGGCAAGATTAGCTGCTTTAGTAAGTAGAATTGTGTGGTCTCTTTTTTTGGTTTGTTTTACGTAGTATGGAGCTTTGAAAGTATGATTTCACTCATTACTAACCTCGGATTCCTTAATTTAATCTATCATATATTTTAGTTTAAATGTATAAAGATCATCTAGAAAAGGATAATATTATGTATTGAGACATTCCTTAATTAGGAAAAAATGGCTGCTGTATATTTACAATATCAGTTCTGACTCAAATAACATCCTTAATACTGGGAACAGAATATTAACTACATTCAGTTTGACTGATACATATAGCATACTCATCACCAGAGTTTTTGTCTGATCAGATTTTTGTGTTAGTTTTTAAAATTTCAGCACAATGCAGATATATTTGAATGTCAATATTAAACATTTAGACTGCTGTTCAGATTGTATTTATCATTTTCTTCCTATGTCTAGAAATTTGAATCCCTAACTTAAATATTTGCTGCTGTGAAACAGCTCTAGTGAACACTAAATGTTGATTTCAGTTAGCTGGATTGTAGATACTTGCAGATTGAACAAATTTTTAGGGAAATGGAAAAAGAGCTTAGAATATGTTTGGTCTTCTTAGTTAAGCTAACTTAAGTTGAAGTATCTGCGCATATTGAGGGGTTTTTTGTTTGGTTTTTTTTGGTGTTTTTTTTTTAATATAGAACCATTCAATAAGGACTTAGAGCTGCAGGGGTTTTGTTTTTTGGGGGGGTGTTTTTGTTTTGTTTGGGTTTTGGGGGTTTTTTTTGTGGAGGTTTTTTTTTTTTTTTTTTTTTTGCCAGATATACATGCGTTCATAGAACTTCTAAGGATTCCAGGCGTGTCTTGGGATTTTTTAAATTAGTTTTAAAGTTAATAAAGTTAGCTAAATCCACTTGTCTCTTGTTTTATTTTTCATTAGTAAATTGAAAGCCTGTAAATTTATGTAGAAACTGAGACACAAAATACGTGGTTACCTAGTTTTTGCCTTGATCATAGATTCCCTCTTTATAAATTACCAACAGTCCATCACTGATTGAAATATTTTCTATAGCTAAGATTTGCTGCATAATATAGTATATAGAATTAAGTTATAATGTACTAACACTTCACCTTTGGAGGAAGTTTTAATCCACATCAGGATTCAAGTTGTTCATCAACATTCTTTCACATAGGATAGATAATAGTTTATTTAAATGTGCTCAATGTTGCAAAATGCAAACGTGCAGAAACATTGAGACAGTATTACTGTCACTTTGGAAAAGATGTTCCTTGGGGATCATATATGAACATGTCAATAAGCTTGCATTAAGCCACCTGCTTTGTAAGTGGATTGAATAATAAATACCTTCAGTTTCTTTTGTCTTTGTCTTTCATAATCTGATTAAGAGTAAAATGGTTTACAGTAAACCTAGAAGATGAACTGTTATGTTTACACTAAAAAAAAAATCCATTTATAAATATTACCTTATCTAATTTGATGCCTGTTTTTGTCTGGTTAAAGCTGCTTCACTTTTGTTTTGTGAGGTTTGGGTTTTGTTGGGTTTTTTTGTTGGGTTTTTTTGGTTTTTTTCTTCTCCAATCTGTTAGGAGTAGCATGTGCCAGTGCATTGTCTAGTGCTGGCTTGATGCCTCTGGCACTGAGGCTTTAAGAGGAGAAAAATTTTATTCCAGCATGTGTGATAAATGGACATTTTCGAGCTTAATTGCATTGCTAAAAGTGAACTTAAAACCACTTTGTGCTTGTACAATGGGGGATATGGGAGAGAGGCAACACATGATTTGACTGCTTCAAAACCTGACATGGTTTTATGCTAAAGCTTCTTGAACATCCTGGCTGTAGGAAACTGAAAGTGAGTATGAAGTTGAAGCTGCTTTGGTAAAAGCCAATGAAGGTAATGGAAAGGACTGAACAGATGCTTTCTGTTCTTGGGTGACTGTTGAAAAGGAGGGAAGTTAGTTGACCACTCATGCTTGAAGTCTGATGATACTCACTTTTTAAAGTTTCCAAGAAGGTACCCGAGAGACACGGGATAAACAAAAATGGGGCTTCTGAAATAATTGAGACCCTGGGTATGTGATAGAATCTATTTTGGCTTCCTTACAGGACAAAGAAGCACAGGTTTAGGGGATTTTTGTATTTTGTTTTTGTGTTTTAGGGAATCCTTTATGTGTCTGATTTGGATGCCTGGTACTAGAGGTATTTTAGTGGTCCAGGAATTGACTTGTTTTATAACTGCTACTGATACTGTCTTGCTTTTAAATGTATGCATAACATTGTAATGTGATGTTGAACACCTTAGGTATTTGCCAGGAATCACACTGTTCTGATCTTACATGCTATCGCAGGGGCTAATAAAGCTGCAGCCTACTTCTATTCCAGAAAGTTGTGACTTAACCATAATTTAAGGGAAGGAAAAGAATAGGCTTTTGATTTTGAAAATTTCCACCACTTGGTGTGCTTTATATGCTTAGATGCATTGCCTTAAGTTTTCTGCAGCATCTTTGACTTTGAAGATAAGGTTCTCAACAGTATGCATCAAATTACTTTTCATATAAAATTCCATTGTCAAAAGAAACCCTTTTGTATGCAATAAATAAAATGTTAGACTGGCATCATTCAAAAACCTGTTTCTTATGTAAGTTGTTGTTGGTCTGGTTGGTTGGTTGGGTTTTTTCCTTTTGCCGTTGTAAGTCTTGACCTGTAAAAATTCTTGTGTGTACATGTATTCTTACAGGTACTGCCTCAGAAAAAAATTCTCTCAGTGAAGGTTCAGCATTTAGCCACAGCTCCAGGACCATCTGGAACTTAGGAATTCGGGAAAACTGCCCTTACAAAGGATATAAAAATATTCACTTGTGCATATAAGAGTAAACATATAATGCCAGTTTTGGGAGATTACAAATAGTTGTAATTACACTTTTCTGTCAGTTTAGGCAACTACTGAGAGTTGTTTAAGTTCCCAAATCTCAGGACTAGTTACTAAGCCGACAGTTAGGAGCTGGTTACGAGGTGGCTGACATGCCTTCCTCAAGCCGCATGTGAAATTCAGAATGAAAGCTGTAACGTGCGTTCCCACAGTGCCGAGTACCGAGCTGCCTTTTGAATGAGGCCAGCCACCTCCGCAGGTGCTCCGCTGGCCTGGTTCTGCAGTGCTCAGGGCTGGATGCCGGAGTGCATTACTAAGCCGACAGTTAGGAGCTGGTTACGAGGTGGCTGACATGCCTTCCTCAAGCCGCATGTGAAATTCAGAATGAAAGCTGTAACGTGCGTTCCCACAGTGCCGAGTACCGAGCTGCCTTTTGAATGAGGCCAGCCACCTCCGCAGGTGCTCCGCTGGCCTGGTTCTGCAGTGCTCAGGGCTGGATGCCGGAGTGCAGAAGCTGCTGCAGGCGGCTGTGCTTCCAGCC